CAAGTCTGAAGGCAAGAGAGACCGAGGTCCCAGTTGGAAGACAGCCAGGCAAAGAAGGACTTCTCCCCCGTCAGTCAGTGTGTTCTATTCAGGCTTTCAGTGGACTGGGAAGGGCTGTCTGCTTACACAGTCTGCCGACTCAAATGTGAGTCTCTCCCAGAAACACCATCCCAGACACACTCAGAATCATATTTGACCAGATATCTGGCCCCACCCCACTGGCCCAGTCAAGCTGACCCATAAAAGGAGCCATCAGGGATGGAGTGGAGTGAATAAAAGAGAGAAGACAGGGAGTTGATCAGAGAAGATGGAGAGGAAGCTTTTGGCTTCCACTCTGTTGGGAGGAGGGCCATTGAGGGTTTTGAGCTGAGCAGTGACATAATCTGACTCAGATTTTCATAGGATCCCTCTGGCTGCCAAGGAAGCTCCTGCAGGAACCATGTGGGCTGGGCCTGTGGTGGGAGAAGGGGGTACAGGAAGCAGCTAATGGATCGGAGTGGACTTTGAGAGGAAGAGGGGGCCAGAGATAGCCCTGGGGCTCTAATGCAAGCAACTGGAAGGACAGACTTAAATTTAGTGAGGTCAGGACGATCGTGGGAAGGTTGACTGGGGAAGAAGATCCAGGTTTTAGTTCTGAGAAGGTTAAGCTTGAGAGGTGTGGCAAATCTCCAGTTGCTGATGTCAAGTGGACAGTGTGGAGATAATGTGAGAGCTTGAGGCCAGAGAGTCATCAGTGTATAGAGTGAGCCCCTGCGAGGAGAGGAGTTCCTCAGGAGTGAGTGGAGGTGGAGAGGAGAGGAAATGGGAAGATGGGGAGGGACCCGGGGAGGAGCCTGAGAAGGTTCCAGAGAAGCAGGAGGAGAACCAGGAAAGGGTCCGGAGTGTCCCAGAGGCAGGAGGAGTGATCCTCTGGGTCAGCGCTGCCCAGGGGGCAAGTAAGAAAAGGTCTGAGAATTGACCACTGGATTTAACAACACAGAGGACTTTGGTGACCTTGACCAGGGCAAATTCTGCAGAATAGCGAGGGCAAAAGCTTGTCTGGAGGGACGAAGGGACAGTAGAGGAGTAGAAATGGAAAACAGAAGTATAGGTAATTGCCACGTGGCCACTTCTTCTTTCCACCTCCAGATTCACCAACAGCTAACGTTTCAGTGTTTTTCAAAGAACCAGAAATTGGGTTTATTTATTCCTTCCTTCCTTTATTTTTAACTTCATTTCAGTTTTAATTTATCAGTTGCTTTCCTGTGCTTTCCTTGAATTTATTTGGCCTTTTCTAACTTTTTGAGTTGGATAATTCATGTTCTGTTTATTATCAATATTTAAAGCTGTAAATTTTTCTCTGAGCATTACCTGAGCATCCCACAGGTTCTGAGATATGGTATTTTTATTTTTATTATCTACCTATTCTGAAATTTTCATTTCTTGGCTCTCTGAGTCACGAGTTATTTTAGAGTTTTTAAATTTCTTGGTGGTAGAGTTTTGTTTTGTGGTTTTCCTTATAAATATTTTCAAATTCTAGTGTATTGTGATCAGAGAATGTTATCTGATTTTTAAATTTTGGAATTTATTTTCTTTGTGGCCTGATAGTCACTTTCTGTGTGTTCTTTTTCAAGAACATTCGAATAGAAGGTAGATTCTGTTTAATGCACAAACACATGCATGCACACACATGCATAGACACACCACACATGCACAGACATGCATACACATGCATACACCCATGCACCGCACACACACACATGCACACACGCACATGCACACATGCACGCACATACACGCACACACGCACATGCACACATATACATGCACACATGGCACACATGCGCACACGCACACGCATACATGCACACGCACACATACATGCACACACACATGCATGCACATGCACACATACACGCACACATACACATACGTGCGCACATGCACACACATACATACACACATACATGCACACGTACACACCCTATGTTATTAATTAGGTATTTGACCTCCTTTTTATTTATGCTTTTGTCAGCTTAATCTGTAATGCTGAGGCTATGTTATTTGGTGCATAGGCATTCATTATTTTGAGATCCTGGTGGTGACTCTCAGCCTGATCCCTGCACAGATCCTTTCTTTTTCTCATTCAAAATTTCTTGCCCCGACTTCAGCTTTATCTAATATTCAGATCAATACCCCTGGTTTCTCTTGGTTTGCATTTGTTTGTTATGTTTTCTGCCCATCCTTTAATTTTTTTTTAATTGTAGTAAAACACATAACATAAAATTTACCACTGTAACCATTTGAAGTGTATGGGTCAGCGATACTAAATACATTGACGTTTTGAACAATCGTCCCCCGGGGCATTTTCATCATCCGTCCATCCTTTTATGTGAAACCTGTGTGACTCATTCTACCTTCAGTAGATCTTGTTTGTAATCTGGTCTGAGTGTTTGTTTTTTTTTTTTAAGCCAGTGTGTATGGCTCATTAACATTTACTTACATGGCAAATACATTTGGTGTTACTTTTGTCATGGTTTGTGATATGCTTTCTGCTTTTATAGCTTTTGTGGGGGTTGTCAATTTCCGCCATATGGTCTCTGTTTTCTTTGTTTTATTTTTTGTGTATATGTCTTCCGACAATTTGCAAAGCTGTGTTTTTGATCCTGTGGTTATCTTTATAATTCTACTGTGATATGATACCCTTAATTCTCTATTGCTTTAGATGGTGCTTATTTTCTCCCCACATATGAAGAATGTCCAAATTAGAATATTTCTATTTTCCATCCCCTTCTCTCCCTTCCACCAAATGATTTTAGTTGATTATATTTTATGATATTTTCCCTGTTTACTGTTGTGCCTCTAATTTTACTTAAACCTCTGAACAATTCTTGAGATGCCTAAATATAAGTGATGAAGACATAGTTTACGTAAATTCCCTCCCCGCTTCTCACCTCTACCCTCCCATCTATTGTTATTTACCCCAGTTCTCTGTTTTCTCTTTCATTCTTGCTTATAATAGTCCCAATCCTTGGATTTGTTTCAGATGGTCCTACAGTTCAACAGATTCTCTCTGTTGGTGCCCTTACCGCACTCACCCCGTTTGGCCTTGGTTATCCCAAGTGTGTCCTCTAGTAATTTATATAAGAAGGACTCAAGCAAACTATATTTCAAAAATAGATTCAAAAAGTGTTTCTGTTGATGTTAAACTTGAAAGCTGGTCCATCTGGGTTTTAACTTCTTGGTTCATTCATTCATTCAGCAAATATTTATGAAGCTATATTCCAGATCCCGGCTATGTTACTGTTCCAGACCCTGGCAATACAGATGTGAACATGACACACAGACACTTTGGCCCTCTTGTAGCTTCCTTTCTAGGTGGGGGAGACAAACAATAAATTAGACCCGTAAGTAAAATCTGCGGTGTGCTGAATAGAGATGGATGCTATGGAGAAAGATAAAGCAGGTGGTGGGGGGATCATTGGACCTGGCTTTGTTCTGGGAAGCAGCAGAGAAGGCTCTCTGGAATCCAACCCTTAGTGCATGCACGCGTTCCGGCTGATGTAGAGCAGGGAGGTTGGCTCTGCTTCTCGGACTCTCACCTGCTCTGGAAAGATGTGCTGTGCTGGCTTTGTCAGAGCCCCTCCCTCAACTTCCCCCTGCCCCCCTCTTCCTAACTTGCACTGGAGCTTGGCCGACGGTGGTCTATCAGTTAAGAGCTATAATCAGATGCAAGTAGCAGAAGTCCAGCTGCACTGATGTGGAGGGGAGAAGTCAGGGGCCACCACCAGAACCAGGTTTCCCCCTGCTTTCCACTTCACCTACATTAGTGAGTGTCCCTTCTTCTCATCCTCTTACCTGGATTCATATCCCCTTCCCAAGGGACTTCCGCTTACACAGGACTGGGTTGTGGGATCACCCCATCTGCAAGGAAGTCTGGAAAGGTAAGTATTTGTGACTGAGCAGTTGCCCTTATAAATGGATATAGGTCAGGGGATTCACACTGCCATCTGGACTCTGCTAGTCAAAGCTGTAAGTGCCCCATGGGCCAGTGTTTACCCTCCTGACACTGCCCACTGGTGTCCTGGCCCATCCCTGCGCCAGGAGCACCGTGGTTTCCTCGCAATGGCTTTGTAGGATACGGTCACATCCGGTGATATGATTCCAGGACTCATAATGGTTTTTACTATAATTATGAATGGTATCTGTATCTGTTCTTAATATTTTCTAGGTTTTTAAAAAACTTTTATTTATTTCTTTGAGAGAGAGAATGAGCACGAGCATGCCTGAGTGGGGAGGTGGGGAAGGGGCAGAAGGAAAGGGACAAGCAGACTCCCTGCTGAGCATGGAGCTGTAGCAGGGCCCAATCCCAGGACCGTGAGATCATGACCTGAGCCGAAGTCAGACACTTAACTGACTGAGCCACCCAGGCGCCCCAATATTTTCTAGTTTTTTTATAGCAAGGTGACCATATAGTTTATCATCCAAATGAAAACACTTACTAACATGAAAGGGGAACAATATTAAAAATTATGTCAAAACAATTTTTTGTTAACTGGTGTTAACTGGGATGACCCAAACTTAGACACATAATCACTCTGGTAACTGTTGAGACAGATGAACACTGTTGGTTTTATAAGTTAATCTGCTTATCTCTAGGATTAAAGGTCATAACTCTGTATCTACACTCTGTTCTAATAATTAGCCTGTTGATTCTCTTGGATTTTCTGTGCACATTATCTGCCATTAATTGTAATTCAGTTTCTTCTATTCCACTCCTATGCTTTTTTTTCTTGTCTTATTACGTGGGCCACGAGTGCTGGTACTGACTGGAGCCACAGTGGCGGCAGGCTTGCTTGTCTGGCTTCCAGTCTTAAAGTCAAATATTTCTCAGTATTCCAGAAGTCATGCACTCAGAGAAAACCTGGCTTCTCTGGGCAATGAGGCCCAACAGAAATGTCCTCAGTGAATCCCCACAGAGGAGACACCGTGTGATATTTTGTTTCCTTCTGCTTCCCCAGAAAGCCCTTTTGCCGTGCCTCAGGATGGGGGAGGTGAGACCCGAAGCACCTGGCACAGCCTCCAAGAAGAACAACTTCCACAGAGACCCCAGGGAGAGCCGAGGTGGCTGCGGCGGTGGCAGAGGAGGAAATGCCACCTGTACCCAAAAGCCCCTTCCATGGACTTCTAATATTAGGAGCAAACTCAGGGGTGGGGGCCAGGGATCTTAAGGGAGGGGGTCTTGAGCCACCTGTCCGCAAGCAATAGTCCCATTCTGGGCTGGTGGCTTCTGAGAGGTGACGCCATTGTGGACTCAGGATGACCAGCACAAAATTGCTCCGGCTAATTCAAGCCACAGGGATTAGGCCTGTGCATCGTACCTGTGGGCCCCTTGCCTCCTGTCCCTCCAGTTGTGGCCTGTGGGCCTGTGTCACAATACTGAATGTGAGTGTGTGTGTGTGTGTGGGTGGATGTGATTTGGGTGTTCTTTTTGTGTGTTTGTTTGGTCGGTTTCTATTGGAGTCCCCCCCGAGTCCTCTAATGGGCACAGGCCACCAGTGGCGGGGGCCCTGGTCAGCGTCCCCGTTTAAACTTCTGGCTGTGGCTGGCAGCCGTGAACCCACTAGAGTCAGTGAGCATGAGGCATTGCCCCGCTGCGTCTGAGGGCCCTAGGGATTTGAAGATGTTAGTGAGGGTTGGTTCTTATGGAATTTGTTCCTATAACAATGTAATAATAGGGGATGATGCATCTTGGGCCATCCACAGAACAGGCACTAGGCTGCGTGCCTTCATGCACTCTCCCTCTCACTGGGAGAGGGGTGTGGTGAGCCCCCTGCAGAAATGGCTCTGAGCAGGGAAGTTGCCCAGGGTCACACAGCCAGGAGGAAACCAGCCCTTCTGTTTGATCTTGGGGGTGTAGGAACCCAAAGTCCACACTCCCCATCCCAGGGGACCCCTCAGCACAATCCCTGGGACATCTCCCCACTAGTTTCTCAGTGGACTGACTGTTGCCCCAAGTTCTCCACCATCACTGCCCTGAAACCCTCATCCACACAACAAATTCTGGTTGAGCACCTGCTGTGTGTCAGACCTCAGGCTGGGCAGTGACAGGGACTGGCCATGAGTCAGGCAGGCCTGGTCCCTGCCCTGGATGGGGGCCGCCATCTGTTGGGATAGACAGACACACAGATCTGTGCTGAACACGGTGATGAGGACTGTGGAAGCCCCAGGGGAAGTTTCCAGAAACCATTCCTCTTTAGACTTCCACGTAAACCCGGATGCCTATAACATCTGTCCCCAGAGCTCCCCCCACCCACCCATACTGCTTGCCCAAGGTGCACACACGGAAGGTCATTGCCTGGGAAAGGATCACATAAATCCCCAAGGACCACACTGCCAGTGGAGACACACTCATTCCACTGGTGTTAGTGATAACCAGGTCTCCCCCAGCTTTTAGCGTGGTGGACACGGCTCAGCACACTTGTGTCCCTCTGATGACGTGTCCTCACTCAGCCAGACCCAGTGCTCTTGTACACACACTGTCTGCCCTCCAGACACAGCAGGGAGCGGGCAGGCCCCAGCTCCTGGTGCTGGCTGGCGAGGGGGGGAGAGAGGACAGGGGAGAAGTGAATCGTGAATAAGGATGGGGAGGGCTGGGCCGAGAGTTCAGTCAGAACAATCTGTTAGTGAGGGGCTTGTCGAGGTTGGGTGGTCTGGGAATGCCTCTCTGAGCAGGTGATGTTGAAGCCCAGGTCTGAATGATAAGCAGGAGCCAGCCACGGGCATTAGACACAGGGGAAGAGCATCCAGCACAAAGACCCTCAGGCAGTAGCATGCCTGATGGTTTCAAAGAACCAAAGAAATCCAGGATGGCTGGGACGCAGAGGGAGGGCAGAAGGGGCCGAGGGTGAGGGAGTCCAGGCTCTGTAAGGCCTCACAGACACAACACCTTGTCCTTTGATAAAGCATTTTCCAGGCAACCTGGCTCTCCATCCCCTCAACAGCTCCATAAGGAAAGGACTCTCCTCATTTCGTGGACTAGGAACCTGAGACTCAGATGGGTCCAGTGACCCGCCCCAGTTCACCAGGCAGGCTGTGGCAGACCAGACCCATGGTTTCCATGCATCTCCCCGGACAGGGGTGCCCAAGCGTATGGCTTGGCAGAGGCAAAGTGGAAAAACTTTACTTGGGGTCTTGAGTATGGAGGGGCATGTCTTCCTTTCCCTGGACGCTGTGGGGAGCCCTGGAGAGGGGCTCAGCTGCCCTCCGGCCCAGGGGGATCAACCCCCACCTGAATCCAATGTGTAGAGCCTCGGGAATCAGGGGAGCCTGAGGTTTGGGGGGGCACAAGACCTGGATTGTGACATCAGCTCTGCACTAAGAGTGATGTGAGCCCAGGCCAGTCCTGGGCCTTCTCTGCCCTCAGTTTCCCCCTCGGTAAGAGGAAGGAGTCAGACCAGGTATCAGGGGGCTGGCATCTCTGGCTTCCTGTGGTCCAGGGTGACGCTCACACAGCTGATCCCCCAGGGGGTGCTTCTTCTGGTGGGAAGGAGCTGGTTGCCTTGCCTCCCTGGCCGGACTGCCTGAGCCGGAGGCTGCTCTCACTTAGACCAGCCAGGGCCAGGACCCACCTGATTGGCAGCCCCGAGAACTACAACTTGCAGGCCTCTGGCCCCTGCCAGCAATCTTCTCGGGAGTGACTGATAACCCCGTGGGGCTCGGGACGGAATATTCTGTTGGAATGGAGGCTTCCCACGTGTAGCTCAGAAGACATCACAGACTCAGCCGGCCAGTGCGGGACAGAGTATGCGGAGGGCAGAGGCCCTTCCTCGCTCCTCTCCGAGCCTGTTTGCCACCTGTCGGGGGGCAGGGGGTGCGTGGGAAGGAGGGAACAATGCTCACTGGCTCTCTCAGTGGCTTGAGGGGTGAGACGCGGCGCCGGGTGTGAGCGCCCCGAGTGGAGGGCGGTCGCAGGGAAGGCACGTGTGCGCAGGGCCGTCCCTCCCAACGTCCAGGGCTCCTCAAAACCCCGCAGGAGCCCGGCTTGCCCCAGCATAATCCTGTCCCCCCCTTCTGTGGCAGGCCACCATGCCAATCGGTAGAGTGTCCCCGAGAATAAGACACAGGGTAGTGACAAGTTCAAGTAGAGATTTCCAGAGTTAGTGTTTTTTAGTGACTCCCAAACCCGGTTTTTCAAGCTGCCTATGTTTACTTTCTACTGCGAGCTTCTGGCTATCACCACGTAATTTGTAACAATGAAATAATCATAGTACAAAAAGAAAAATAAAAAGCAGAGAAAGAAGAAGACCATATACCTCACCGAGGAGTTTGTACCCGACGCCTGTCTGTGTCCTGACTCCCGTTTGTAAGGACCTCTTCCTACTGGGAACGGTGCATCAGGGACAAGCAGCTTACGCTTTTCCTCTCGCCGGTGTATGGTGTGATCCGTGTGTTTTGGAACCGATTCAGAACCAATACCAGGTAGCATCCTCAGGCCCTCTGCCCTCACCTTTACCTCTGAAGTCGCCCTGAGCCTCAGTCAGGAGCAGCCTGCTCCTGCAGACGGGCCCGGAGCTGCCAGGGGCCAGGGGGCCGTCTGACGCTGACCAGGACCAGTATGAAACAGGCCTTAATTGAAAACACACGCACGTGCACCCCCACATGCATAGGGACATGCATGCACACACGCCCACGTAGACACGTGCACATGCAGGTGGACCCTCTTGCGGTCTCAGATACTTTAGAAAAATAGGCAGGCCGCTAACAAGGGTGGGTGGTCCTTCCCTTCATTGGCCAAAACACCATTCAGGTGTGGCCCCGAGGCTGGAAAGAAGGGCTTGGGGAGTGGGGGGATCAGGGACATGCTGAGGAGTGCGGCCGAGAGACGCTTCCTGGCTCACCATCAAATCCAAAGCTCTCTCTAGATCATTTCAGTCACAGCGAGACTGTGGGTGTGGCCCTGCCTGGCACTGTCTCCCACGCAGACCCCCAGACCCTCCGCCGTCCCTCCAGCCCAGGCCCCATCCGCCAGCCCAGCTGACATCCTGTCCACTGTGTCCACTAGAATCTAGTAGATCCCTCAACAATCCAAATTCACGTGACAGCCCCAAGGGGAGTTATTGGGGGCATTTCTTGTCAGTGTCGAGGGGCAGCCGTGTCATCACAGAGAGGTGTCTATGCCTCCCCACCCCCATTGTCTGCTATGGGAACCTGAGGTTGGAATAATAGAAGTGACTTTCAGGAATTCTTGACCTTGCCGCTTACCTGGTGAGTATCAGATGGTGTCTGCCTTGTCCCCACAAACCATCTGTAAGGTCAGAGGGGCAGCCAGCCCCCCAGTGAGTGGTGACACCGTGCTCACTGCCACCCGCAACCCCCAGAGCCCATCACCAGACCAGGCTGGGGCGATGCCCTTTACCCTCCAGAACATAAAGACCACACACCTGCTGTGTGACTGACACCCCACGAGGGTCCCAGCCTGCCTTGCAGCACACACAGCCCCAGATGGCAGTCAAGGGAATGGATACAACCTTGGGGTCTGTGGCCTGAAAAACAGATGTTGAAGTTGAGCGATCAGGTGAGAGAGAGATAGAAGATCCTAGAAAATCCATTGGCTCATGCATGCATTCCTTCATCTGTTCAACAAATATTTATCCAGCTCTGAACCCAGCGCGCATCTGGGAGTGGTTCCTGCCGAACACAGAGATGTCAGGGAACATGCAAGTGTCCATGGGAGAGGCTGGGATCCCCTGAGAAGTGACTAGTTGTGCCTAACAGTTAGGAACGCCCAGATCCACAAAGCAAATAGGCAACACCTACCTATACCCTCCATGAGAGTGGCCTTGGAGGTGGCATTGTCCCCACCCAAGTTCCCAGGACCCTGCTAGATGGTGCTAGAGAGATGCCTGCTGAGTGAGCCACTTTGACCCTTAGTCACACTGTACCAAAAACTCCTATCTTTACATCAAAACCCTGATATGTTTGCCCTTGACAGGGTGACATTCAGGGCTGCGGCAGGGCCCACCCCCCAGAGGCATCATTCACAACGCGGTCACGGAAATGGTCATGGGTTCCCAGGAACAGCATTTCTATGGACCGCATTGGGAA